TTGCTTAAGGTCTAAGAACGGTTCAATATCAGCTATTGGGAACATTCTCTCCTTGAAATCTTAGACGAATGTTACACAAAAAATTTAACTATCAACCACATCGTAGGTAACATGACCCATGGCTAGGAAGGTAAACAATCAAACGAAGCAAAAGATGGGATATGTTGACGCTTGAATTACGACAACACATTTATTGATTAAGTAATCCGCATAATATGGCATGAGCAATAGTAATTGTTATCGTGGCTGGTAGTAAACAAAACCTAATCTGAAATGGGCTAAATATTTGTTGCGCGCAAATGTTGTTTTTTCTATTTTAATTAAAAAAAAAAAAAAAAAAAAAAAAAAAAAAAAAAAAAAAAGACTATCCGCTTATAGTATGTATGAAATAATGTGATTATTAATACTCAAATCGATCGACCGCAGCATTTGGGATAAAATACTATAAAAAGAGATACGACACATAGGTTGAATAACAGCACTATTTATTTCATTGTATATATATAGTACAGTATATAAAATTGGACCCGTAGGATACTGCATGACACTAACCAACAAAAGTATATGGTTGACTAATATGGCATATTCTTACCTATGTGATCATCAAAAGCATATGAAAAGAAAAGCAACATGACTCGACGTCGAATAGTAGCGTTAATGATTTACATTGTTTAAATTTCCAATTGTTGTATAATAAACGCTAGCGATTTGTACCAATCAGATTTTGGTTACTCAAAACCTATTTTGAGACAAGAATGTTAACTGAAGTAATAAAAGGGACTCCGATTATCTCCGTCATCTCTTGCATATTGCCAACCTTTACTGTTGTGACAGATACGTTACTGCTAAACTTGCAACTATTATAACATTTCAAAATGCCTCCCCGTTTCAAAACGTCATTCTTAACGACGGTAATTTTGGTTATCATCCTATGTCAACTTGTTCTCGGTCTCCCAGTCTCCGAGAAAAATATTTCAGATGAACCCAGCACCGAAACTCAATTGGTATTTGAAATGCCAACTGAGCAAAACTCTACAAATTTAACGGTAAATGGACAATTTTATAATGGGTTATCAGATGAAACTCTTGACGGAATTCAGAAGAGATTTGACGAAATTCTTGCCTGGATTAAGGACAAACTCAATACAGCCTCCGACAAACTCAAAGAACTCTATAAAATGACGGCTGAATTTGTTTCGGATCATTCTCCGCTCATTATTATGATAATTATTACTGTTCCTGTTCTGTACTGTTTTCGATATGTATTTCTCAATATTATTCGGAAGATAGGCTATAGTGCTAAAGGAATAGTTAGAAAAAGCCCAGCCGCTTTTCATATGTCTCTCCATGGTGGGAAAGTAGCTGCCGGTAGTCTCGTTTCTCGTTTACAAAAAGTTGGTGCACTAGGTTTTGGTGGGTTAATGGATATGTTTACGCTTTTATTTAAACTTGTTAGTGCGCTTATACGTTCTATTTTCTGTTTTGCTTTTTAACTAAGTTATCCAGTCGAATTGATATATATGGTATTGATAAATTATTATATTACAGAATGGTGGAAAGATATACCATAATAACCCATATTTGAATATGTGAGATAATTGTTTGAAGTGCAGTAACTTTATAATGTCAGCGACATACACTTTGTAACGGAGGTTATTAGGCATTTGAAGGAATAAAAAATATATGTTATATCACATATTTTACATTCAACATTAACATAATCGTCTGCTTCTATTAAGTTATTTGTACATTTTTGTGGTTAATAATTCTTGACTCAAACCGTAAAAGTTTTCTGACCCATCAGGTTTTAAATGGGGTTATGCTATAAAGCTTGTGGATAGTTCGAAAAGAGTATTCCCGACATAATAGACAAACATATTAACTTGAATTGCTCAAGTCAAAGTTGTTGCAAAATTAAAAATAATATCAAACCTAAATATCAATTATGAAGTATATTAACATATAACTCTTTGCGCTAACCCTTTTTTGCCAATAACTGTGTATATTAGCAATTGCCTAAGGAAAGATATATGATGTAACTTTTTTAATTTTAATTATATGTAACAATTGTCAAGTTTCAAATTTTAATGTTGATAATCTCAACATAATTATTGATGTATTTAATTTGCTTTGAATAGACTTGTGTACACGTACCCTATACAAATTTTAACATTTCAGTAGTATTCTACTGGAAATTATTTGAGGACATGACGTAAGAAACTGTCAAGCCTAGGTCTTAAAGGCGACGTATTCCTCAGTGATTTCCGCTCAATAGTACAAATATTTCCATCTGCGGCACATTGAATTTCTGCGGCTAATCGATCGGCAAAATGGCACAGTAGTATTAGTAATACAA